GGGCGCCCAGGCGCCCATCGACGAGACATGGGCGATCGGAGGCCGATGCTCCCCGCCCTGGGCCAGACCCCAGCTGGTGGGCTTGTTTTCCACCGCCACTACCATAAGTGGGAGGGGGAGGGGGTCCTCCTCTTCTCCTCTTCCTCCTCGTCCTCATCCTCCACCTCCTTCCCCCCTCCAACGTATGCTGGTGGTGGTGGTGGAAAACAGGCCCATCACCATTCCTCTTCTGCGGCAACTCATGGGAGCCTCCTATACCATATTGCTGACTCTTGCGACTCGAGAATCATCGACGCCAATCGACGCACTCCGGGGGGCCGGGAAGGCACACCCACACACCAAAGCACAGCCCGAGGCCCTCCAAAGAGGAAGGCCTCCAGGACCAGTGGGCTGGGGGTACAGTTCCCTGCCCTTCCAGGAGGGCTAAAAAATAACACCTGACTGAAAAGCCTACCCCAAAGGCTATTCTACGTCTGGGTTTCGGGCTGTTTCGCTTCGTCTTTTCTTCTTCTTTTTTTTTTTTTTTTTAATTGTTTGGCCTCCAGTGCCAAAACATAGCTCTATGGAAGGTCAGGGTTCCTTTTCGGCAATGCCTCCCGCCCCACCGGGGCCTGGCCCGGTCGGAGGGGATCCCTTCCTTTTCGGAACCCTGGCCTTCCAGGAAGGCAAAAAAAAACACCCGATTTAAAAACCTATCCCAAAAGCTATTCTACGTCTTGGTTTCATGCTGTTTCGCTCCGTCTTTTTGGATTGTTGGGCCTCCCGTGCTAAAAGATAGCTTTCTGGAGGGTCAGGGTCAAGCAGTGGCGAAGCGTCCTGGCGTGCCTATAGGCCCACCAGACAATGTTCTAATAACCTCTTTTTTGTGGTCTGCACGAGATGTTCTTCGGACATTTCTGGCCGATGTTGAAGTCTCCAGTGCTAAAAGATAGCTCTCTGGAAGGTCAGGGCCCCTTTTCGGCAATGCCTCCCGCCCCATCGGGGCCCGGCCCCCTCTCCCCCCCGGCATTCGAGCAGGGACCGACCGCGCCGGCAGTTCTATTGGCCTACCACGGCATGTTCCTAGAAACCGACAAATGTTCTGAGAACCAAAACAGTGTCCTTAGAACGTAAAGCCCGATGTCTTAAAGCAAGACTTCAACATCGGCCAGAAATGACCCAAGAACATCTCGTGCAGACCACAAAAAAACACGTTCCCAGAACATTCTCTGGTGGGCATACTATAGGCACGCCACGGCGCTTCGCCGCTGCTTGAGGCATGGAGACGCCCATGTTGGCACGCCGCCACGCCGGGCGCCCACGCCTGGCCACGCCGCTCCGCCGAGGCCCCGCCGCGGGCGCGCTCTCTCGGCGCCCCGCCTCGCGGCGGGCACGGCGGCGGGCCGCCGCCGCGGCCGCTGCGCGGCCTCCGGTGCTCCGCGAGGCGCTAGCCTCGCTTGAAGCCTGCGACCACCGGACCTCTCGGCCCGCGGGCGGCAGCAATGCAGACCCAGACGTGCGACGTGCTGATTATCGGCAGTGTGTGCGCCGCCCCCGGAAGTCCAGACCCCTTCCCCAGGGGCCGGTTGTTCGTCCTGGATCGACTCTGTTGACGGTCCCGGGGCCCGGCGAGGGCCCCCCGGGGGCTGAAGTTCAATGCAAAACTTGCCGTCCTGATCTTCTTTTGCGACGCGGTCATAGCTGGGGAGGCCTCCCCAACGGGGTCCGGCCCCAGCTGCTCCGAACCCCATCTGGGAGGCCTCTATAGGGAAAAGGGGGCGGGGGGGGGGGCAGCTTCGGGCACCCGGCCCCTAGAGAAACGAGTCAGGTCAGGACGACAAGCTGGCTCTGGGGAAGAGGCGGAGGGACTTACCACGGACCCCGCACTGAAATCAGCAGGCCGCCGAGCATCTGGGAAAAGAGGGGGGCTAGCGACTCAGCTCGCGCAGAAGGTTCTCCCAGCGCCAGGGCCGAGACCAGCTGCACGAGGCAAATGTTGTCGTACCCCCCCTGTTCCCTACGGTCGGGAACTTCTGCTCAGCGTGTCGCGGCGGCGGCCCCGGCGACACGCTGTGCCTTACGAGTGGAAAGCGTGTAGTTCCGCTCCGCGGGGGGGGAGGCTCGGGAGAGCGCAGGACGCTGAGCCTTTTGACTGGGGACGTGCGTGTCGGGCCGAAGCGTGGTGGGCCAGAAACGGCGGCGCGACACGCTACAGTGGAGGCCAGTCCACAAAAGAAACCTTCCACAAGAAACCCAACCCTGAGACCCCAGGAAGTCCACTGATTTTTGGTATGGGAACGTCACGCTTTCCATAGCGAAGCCATCGAAACCCAAGAAACACAGGGCACCCTGAGGGCAAGCAGGGTGCTTCTTGCCATGGGCCTCCACTGTATCCAAAAGATCCCGACGGCCTCCTCCCCCGCTTCGCCCGACCCGAACCTCTGGCCACGACCCTGGGATCGACCCGCCGCCGCGTGGCGCGGCGCAGCCGCAGAAACAAGGCGCGGGGCATCGACGCCTGGCGGACGTAGCCGGAGCCCTTGGGGGTCCCGAGGAACCGCAGCGACGTAAACTCCACGGCCGGCAAGAAGCGGGGGCGCCCGGAGAAGTTCGGGCTCCCGGCGTGCAGCGTGCGGACGTCGCGCACGATGGCCGCCCCGGCGGGCAGGGGGAAGAGCCGCGAAGCCCGCCAGTCGGCCTGCTCTACTGGGCTCCCGGCCCAGTGGCCGTTGCTCCGCTGCGTCCCTGGCACCATCCGCATGGGGCCGTTCTCCCCCGTGATGTCTTCCACACAGAAGTTGACGGACACCAGCGGCGGCGGCAAGTGCTCGTCGTCCTCCGCGCCGGGGGGTCCATCCGCATCCCCCAGGGGGGCGTGGCCCAAGAGGATCGATGGAGGCCTCCCAGATGTGTCGCCACCCTGACCTTCCAGGAGGGCTAACAAACAGCACCCGACTTAAAAACCTATCCCAAAGGCTATTCTGCGTCTTGGTTTCAGGCTGTTTCGCTCCGTCTTTTTGTTTGGTTGTTGGGTCTCCAGTGCTAAAAGCATAGCTCTCTGGAAGGCCAGGGCAGGGTCGGACCATCGCGCCGCAGCGCCGATGCATCGGCGCCGTCGGCACAGAGGACACCCGGCGACGCGGCGCGATCTGCGGCCCCAGCCGCTCGGGCGCCTGTCCAAAGGCCTGGGCGGTGGCGTGCCCCTGGGCACGCTGGGTCTGGGCACGCCCAGCCCTCCGGGGGTCCGGGAAGGCACACCCACACACCAAAGCGCAGCCCGAGGCCCTCCAAACCCTGACCTTCCAGAGCGCTACTTTTTGGCACTGGAGGCAAAAAAACCTAAAAACGAAGCGAAGCAGCCGAAAACCAAGACGTAGAATAGCTTTTGGGATAGGTTTGTGCTATTTTTAGCCCTCCTGGAAGGTCAGGGACACCCACACCAAAGCGCAGCCCGAGGCCCTCCAAAGAGAAAGGCCTCCAGGACGGGTGGGCTGGGGGTACAGTTGGGGCGTTGAGGAGCCCTTAGCAAGGAACGAGGCCCCCCGTCCCCAGAAGTTGCACTCCCACTGGAAACCGACGGAAAACCTGAGTCAAACTGCAAAACCATCCAGGAACACCGAGCCCCTGCCCAACGAAAAGGGCTCCTTCCTCCGCGCCCCGACTGCGGAGTCCCCCGGCGGCGGTCCTCCCTCTTGACCGAGCCGAGGTCGTTGTGCATGAGCTGGAACCGCCTGGCATGCCACGCAGGAGACGGGCCCCCGGTGGGCCACGGGCCCTGGAGAAAGCCCGGCGGCTCTTCCTCCAGGACCTGCAGCCGCTTCTCTCCTTCCGAGCTTCGCTCGCCGACGGCCCCCGGGGTCCGGAAAGGGGACAGGAAGAGGGGGGGGGAGGCGAGCCTTTCCCAGACATGATCGCGTCGAAAAGAAATCGGGACGAAGGTTTTTCGCGATTTTCGGTCCCTGGGGGCCCTTATACCGGGCCCCGGGGCCGCCAAAAAACGACTCAGGATGACAAACCGGCCCCAGGGAAAGGGTCCGGACTTCCGAGGACGCCGTCCTGAAAAAATCAGTACGTCACGTCTGGGTTCTCAACCTGAGCCGCTGGTTGACGGCCCCGGTGCCCTGAATGGGGGCCCTGGGGGCACGAAGTCAACTGGAATCGCTGGGCTCCCCGTCGAGGGGGGCCAGGAAGGACCGAGGGGGGGGGGGGGGCAGGGCGCATCATGGCACGCTGCACGCGGGCGGGGAGGCGGGACCAGGGGGCCCGCTGACAAACGAAAGACGTGGCCACGAACTCTGGGAGAACTCCTGGCCCCGGCCATGATGCCCACCCCGCCCACCCCCCCCGGCCGCCCCCGAGTCGACGCTCCGTGGCCGGCCGCCTCTCCCCAGCCAGCACGAAGTCGCCCCCACCGCTCACGCACCGGAACCCCGGCGGTGGTGCGCCGCCGGGGCGCCCCGGCGGCGCGCTGGGCCGGAGCTCGAAGATGGCCTCCACGGTGGCCAGCACTGCCCAGTTGTTGAGCAGGCAGGTCGCGAAAGACGGGATGCGTCGCGCCGGGGACGTGTCCACGTCCCGCCAGTCTGCAGGCTGCAGCGGGCTGCGGGCGTGCCCTCGACGACCACTCGCTGAGAGCTGGGTGGAACTCTCACCACTTCCATACCTCCCGAGGAAGCTGTCAACAGATGGTTTCGAGAAGTGAAGGTGGTCATTTTCTCCCTCCCAGTGGGAAGAATAAGCTACCACGTGCACCCCCCAGGTGCCTGTGAAAATCGAGTGCCTCGAGGGGCGGAGGTCACGCATCGGTTTCCGACTCTCGGAGCACCAGATGCAGGGATACCGAGCCCCGCCCCCGCGAGGGCGGGAAGGCAGATCCACATCCAGCCCTTCTGTAGATTCTCGGGGGCACGCCCCCGGCTCGAAGGACGTGTGGACACTTCCCCGGCGCGGCGATGTGCAGCATGCTGCCTGTGGATGACGCTGTTCCGAAGGAGTAGCGGCCGCCGCCGTGCCGGTTGCCCCTGGGGCGAGTGTCGGACACCATCTGGCGTGCGACCGCGTGGCAGTCTGCCAGCACCCTGGCGGCCTTCTCGTGGGCCAGGGCGTCCAGCAGGATCACAAAGCCGTGCTCCTTAAATCCGGGGGCCCCTCCGTGGGGCAATCAGGCTGTGCACCGCCAGGCCAGGGATAACACGACCCAACATACCCCCTCCACACACAATGGACCGTCGCTCCAAGGGCCAAGACCGTCCTAAAATAATACCAGCGCTCGCTCCTATCGCCATGGGCCACATTGCAACATACAAAAGATATCATAAGATCGTCGCTCTCAGGACCACGAACAGTCGTAATACACCAGGGGTCCTCGCTCCAAGGGCCACGATCCGTATTCCCAGGTTATTCCCAGGTACACACCACCTGGTAAAAAGCATGTATGGGTTCAGGTGTTCAGGTTCCCAGGGACACGAGACAGGAGCGGTTGAGAGAAAGACGTGAGAGGAAGAGGTAAAGGAGGAGAGGGCAGAGGAGGTGGAAAGAGAAGCAGAAGAGGAGACTGAGGCGTACGAGAAGATGGGTTCTAGGAGGAGGAAACGCCCAGAGGTATATACCAAAAACACTGTCCCTGGTGAGATGGATTCTCGCTCCCGGGGCTTCGGCTGATCGCAAAGTGGAACGGATCGGCGCACTCCAGAACTGCCAAACCTGCCCCGAGTTGCCCTCCGCGACGGTCACACCTGGCCCCAGGAGCGCTCGATCGTGGCTCCGTGAACCACTGACGGGAGCTCCAGCGAGGCAAAAACCATAGAACAACGAATTGCTGTCCGACGACTCTGGCGTTCTTGTACTTTTGCTCCTTAAGATGGGCCTTAGAAGTCTTTCAGACGGCCCCCAACAAGCCCCAGCGAAGAGGGCTCCAACAGGGCTCCGAGAAAGTCCCCACGGGCCTCCAGGAGTCTCCCAGACAACCCCACAGGTGACCCCACAGGAGCCCGACAGATACGGTCAGGATCTTCTGCATGGCGTGTCGCGGCGGCGGCTGCGACACGCTATGCACTGCAAGCTGATAGTGTGTCGCTCTGCTTCTCCGGACGGGAAGCCAGGAACAGCTCGGAACTTGGATTCTTTGGGGACGTGGGTATCAAGCCGCGACGAAGCGTGGTGGGCCAGAGCAGGCGGCATGACACGCTGATCAGAAATGACTGACCGTCTTCCCACGAACCTGGACCTCCAAGGGAGGCCAACGAGGGTGACCGTATGGCTCCGCCGCCTCCTGTGATTCGCCGCAGCCGGACGTTGGCTTTCCGAGCTGTCGACGAAGTCTCCCACCAACCATCGCACTGGCTGCTCAGCGCCCCTCCACAAGCTCTTCGGCGACTGCCGCCGATCCCCCAGTCATCTGCTCGTCGACTGGCCTTTTGTTTCATGGCAGTACCCGAACATCCCTCAGGGACGGCCCAAGAGAGCCCTGGAAGGTCGCCACGACAGCCACCCAGGCCCCAGCGGCCACCCAGGAGGCCCACAAGATGCGTCCGCGAATTACTCCAAACCATCGTTGGGCCATCGGGCGTTCCCAGACAACATGGCAGGGGGTGGCGGTGACTCGCCAGCGGCGTCTTCGACACGCCGCGACATGTGGTTCATGACATGTGTGACTCTGCGTGCCAAGGTTGCCGTGCCGTGCTCTTCCTCATTACCGTGGGTGTTGCTTGCCCTGGCCACTTCAATGCCCTCCAGATGCTGCCATGCGCCCTGGCGGGTGGGGTGGGGAAGATCCAAGAGTAGAACGGGGGGGGCCATGACGTGCCTCAGAAGGCCCAAACATGCCGCCAAGACTGCCTCAGAGGCCCAAGAAGCCCTCGGAGGCCCAGGCAGTCAAGAAAGGCCGCAAGAAAGGATCCCAGAGAAACCCCAGACGGCCAACAGCAGCTTTCAAAAACAACTGGCATCCTGTGAGTTCTGCCTCCCTAGCTGTTCGGTCTAAGGTAGATCCAGGAGAGAATTCCAGGAGGGGCCCAAGAGAACCGAAGAGAACCCCAAGATGGCCTAGACAGACCGAAACAGGGTATCAGTACTGCTCCAAGAGAGCCCAAGAGACGGCAACGATGCCCCAAGAGGCTCCCAGGAGTTCCCTGGGTGCCCCCAAGACAGCCCTGGAGCCCCACCAGGCCTCCAAGATGCCCCAAGAGGCCCAAAATGTTGACACGAGGTCCCATGACGCCTCCAACGTGGCCCATGGGGCTGCCAAGATGGCCTCAGTGAGCCCTGAAGACGCCAAAGAGGATCCAGCTAGCTCAGAAGGGCTCGGGGAACACACAAACCATGATTTCAATGTGTTCCCCAATTACGCTTCGCATCAATATATATATATATATATATATATATCAATATATATATATATATATATATATGTGTGTGACAAGACCGGTGCGTGCCCGACGCGATAGCGCCGGGATCCCCCAGGGTTCCTCGGTCTTGCTTCTGTACACGGGGGATCATCCGGGTTCCTCGGTCTTATTATTTAGAAGGCCTTGCCTGGGGTCCTTGGTCGTGGTTCATTGGTTCCCCCGGTTCCTTGGTCTTGCGTCCTCTTGTCCTTGGTCTTGGTTCATTGGTTCCTTGGTCTCTGAGTCGGAGTTCCCTGGTTCCTTGATCTTGGTTGCTTGGCCTTGGTCCCCTGGTCCCTTGGTCCCTTGTTTTCCTTGGCTCCGTGGCACTGGTAGCTTCATCCCTTGTCTCCGCGTGCTTGGCTCCGTGGTTCCCTGGTCTTGGCTCCTCGGTGCCCCTCCGCGCACGGCAAAGAAGTGCCAATCCACGCCACGCAGGGCCAGCCAACGCCAAGCAAAATGCCGAGCCACGCCACGCCACGCCAAGAAATGCCAAGCAGGGCCGAGCGACGCCAAGCGGTGCGTAGCAGTCAAGCAAAACGTAGCAATGCCGCCCATCGCGCCCATGCAATAGGAAGCTTCTCCCCGATTGGGGTCGCGCTGGATTCATCTAAAGTGGGGAGGGACCCAGAGTCCCCGTCGCAGGGGCACAATCCCAACACGCAGCATGTACCAGCACCTTCCCCCTTGGGCGCGCCGAGGTGTGGCCCGGGGACCCCTCTCCAAGGTACGTCTTATATAAGGGTCACAAAGCCTACCTTAGACGAGCGCCTCCCACTACTCGGAAAGTAACTACTCGCAAATGGCCTGGCTCCGCCGAGGAGGATGTACGACCCATCACATCCACGCGAACATCTGTGCTCGGACGGTTGCGAGTAAACACTTTGCGCGTAGTGGTACGCGCTCGAAGATGAGCAACCGAAAAAGGACCCCTAATCATTTGGGAGGGGACCTGAGTCAGGAGGGCCCCAAACATTAGGGATAAAGGGGGTCTTTTCTGCGAGCGTGTCGAACCAAACCGCCCAGATTTATTACACCTAATGTGAAGGCAGGGACCTCCGTGAGGCCACGTCTTCATCGTGTTATTATGGCTAGGGGTCCTTTTGTTCTCAGTGGGGTGCTGTCTGGAAGCGATCAGTTTGGCCTGGCGCTCGGCCACGGAGGCGCTGCCTGGGAGGCAGCCACAGAGGCCGGGGCCGGCGGCGTCCTGCCCGAGGGGCCATTCAATATCTCGGCTGCCCGCGTCGCCCACTCCGGCTTGCGGCCGTCCTGGGCGTTGGGCTCTGCCTGCACCTGGAAGTTCTCCACGTCGAGGGACGGTTGGCGGCGCGCCCAACGGGGTAGGGGGAGAGGGGAAGGCTTCTTCGAAAGAGGCTGCTTCTTAGAAGGCGCCGGCTCTACATCCACAGACAAGGCCCGCGTCTGCTACGAAGCAGGGGTGCTTCTAAGATGCCCCTTCCCCCCCCCTCCCCCTGCCCCCCCTGTGCGCGCCGCCAAGAGGAGCTGTGCAGCCAGAGCCCGTCGTCTGGGCCGTCGAACCTGGCGGAGCGCGAGTCCTCGAGCGCCCCCGAGGTCGCGGGCCCGGGCTCGGCGTCGGCGCTGGCGACATCGAGCTCCTCGAGGGGATCGCCCTCGGGCGGCTTCTCCTCCTTCTGGGAGAGCCAGCAGCATAATGATCGATGCCGCGCCGATCGGACGACGCCTTCCTCCTCCTCCTCCTCCTCCTCCTCCTCCTCCTCCTCCTCCTCCTCGTCCTCGTCCTCCTCCTCCTCCTCCTCCTCCTCCTCCTGCTCCTCCTGCTCCTCCTGCTCCTCGATCCTGCTCCTCCTGCTCCTCCTCCTCCTCCTCCTCCTCCTCCTCCTCCTCCTCCTCCCCCCTCCTCCTCCCCCTCCTCCTCCTCCTCCTCTTCCTCCTCTCCTCCTCCTCCTCCTCCTCCTCCTCCTCCTCCTCCTCCTCCTCCTCCTCCTCCTCCTCCCCCGTCCGCGCCGACCCCTATCAGCGTGTTGCTGATGAAGACGCGTCAAGTTTTGCACAGCAGCCAAACAAGCTACACGCAAGGTCTGAAAGACGGCGCGCGTGCCTTGGCGGCGCGCCGGGGAGGGTAAGGGGGAGGGGGGAAGGCTTCTTAGAAAGAGGCTGCTTCTTAGAAAGAAGCTGCGTCTTAGGAGGCGGGGGCCTTACATCTGAAGACATGACCCGCGCCTGCTAAGAAGCAGCCTCTTTCTGAGGAGCCTTCCCCTCCTCCCCGTACGTGCCCCCTTTTGCGCGTGGCCGAGCGCCATGGATCATCTTTGAACCTCCTCGCGGTCCTCGGGCTCGGAGTCCTCCCAGAGCTCCTCCCAGAGCGCCTGCGGGGCGGCGCCCCTCTGCTCCGGCGAGCCCGCGGGATCGTCGAGCACGGCGCCGCGGGGGCCGCCGCCGCTCCCCGGCAGCCAGCAGCACGTGGCGCCTGGCACGCCGGCAGCGCCGCCCGCCACCCTGTCCGGCACGTCCCCCGCGCCGTCGGGCATGGTGAGCACCACCGAGCCCCGCGGCAGCGGCGCCCTCCGGCGCTTGGCCGGTCGGCCCTCGCTGCCACCCTTGCGGGCGGTGCTGAGCAGCGCGCGGAGCAGCTCCTGGCGCCAGAGCGCCCTGTCCTCCAGAGGCACGATGGGGAGGGGCCCCGAGGGAGACGGTGCCTGGATCCTGGGCCTTGTCCCCCCAAAAACCAGGCTCTTCATCCTGGGCGTTCTGGCGGCCCGGGGGCCCCGGGAGGCTATGGGAACCCGAGAACGGCTAACAACAAGATGGACCCAGCGCGACCCCATCAGGGTAAAGTGCCTACTTGCGCGGGGGCCTTGCTTGGCCTTGCTTGGAGTATGGCTTGGCTTGAAAGTGCGTGGCATTGCTTGGCATCGATTGGCAAAACTTTGCATTGCGTGGCATTATTTGGCATTGTTTTGCTTGGCATTGTGTGGCGAGGGAGCAAGGAACCAAGACCAAGGAACCAAGGAACTAAGATCAAGGAACCAAGGAACCAAGGAACCGAACACAAGGAACAAAGACCAATGAACCCGAGGAAAGCAGCAAGGAAGCAAGACCAAGGAACTAAGGAATAACAGATCAAAGAACCTGGGAAACGCCATTGTAAGGACACAAAACTGAGGAACCCCAAGAACCCCCTTGGCAAGAGAAAGCGAAACCAAGGAACCCAGGGGAACCATGGGGAACCCGGCTACGGCCGCGTCTGGCACCCACTGCTTTCTGCACCAACAAATAAGAAACCTCAAGGCAAATCCCAATGTAAGAAAAACTCTAGGACCCATTGCCCTCAATCCCCCTTTCTGGTGGGGCCAACAAATACCAATACCTCTACGTACTGCCCGGACCTCTCCAGGGGCACGTTCTGGCCAGGATTCCGATCCGAATCCAGCCGCGGCAACGAGGGAAGGGTAGATCTGAAAACCAATCTGGGCTTCCTGATTGCGATGTCCTGTGCCCCCCCAGTGGACCACAAGCTCTGCTGCCTGCTGGCCCACGATTCGGTGGGCAATACAACAAGCAAGAAACTCAAAAGGCCAGCCTTAGCTAGTACAAGAACAAGCGATCGGGTGAGAGTAGCACAGGCACGGGCACTGACAGAGCGGGCAACGGAAGACTGGGCGATGAGGTGCAGTGCGACTGCTGAAAAAAAGGAAAGGTAAACAAGGAACGAACCCCCTCTTTTTTCCAAACCCCGCTGTCAAAGTCGAAGGAACTGCACGACACCTGTCTAGCAGCGTTCCGCCATGACTCGCTTTTGCGTCTGGAGCCCCGACCCTCTGATAGAGACCAGGGCGCGCCCCCCCGACCGTTGCTTCACTTGCACCCTTGGCCTCCGCACTAAAAGACACCCGCTCCCGCTCAGCACGCTTCCCGAATCGAGCTGTCACCACGCAGGTGATCCACGGGCGGGCGAGCCACCCGAAAAATGATACGTAAAAACCAATTGTTTCACTTGCACGCTGGGCCTCAAAACGAGGTGGTACACTCCCCCTCAATACGTATCCCGTATGCGACAGGCACCATCACGAAGGGGACCCATGGAAGGGTGGGTCATCCGAGACCTACTTCAGAACAACACCAGCGGTTGTAAGGTAATTCGTGCCCACCCGGCACGCGTCCCGTATGAAGCAGGCACCATGCAGGTGGCCCACTGGCGAATGGGCCATCCGAAAACTGGGCAAGAAAAGCCAACCGTCTCACTTGCATGTGAGGCCTCAACGTGAAGAGATGCCAGCCAACCCAGTACGTATCCTGCCTGAAACAGGCGCCGCGCAGGTGACACACGGGGGAGGGGGCCCCCCGAAAGCGGATCGAAAATCACCAGAAACGTGTCGCTTGCACTCTGGGCCTCAACACGAGGGGATGCACCCCCATGCAGCACGCTTCCCGTGTGAACGGGCACCGCGCGGGTGACCTGCGGGCGGGCGGCTCCCAAAACACACCTGCGGATGAAGAACAAGATGTCTTTCTTGCATCCTTGGCCCCCGCATCAAGAGATGCGTTCCCACCAAATGCGTTCCCCGTGCGAGGCAAGCACCACGCAGGTGGCCCTACGGACGGGTCCGTCCCCCGAAAGCCCGCTGTAACAAACCAAATGCTTCACCTGTACTCTGGGTGGGCCTCAACCTGAAGCGGTGCATTCCTACCACCCTCTGGATTAAAAAGTTGTGACCGGCACTATGCGAGAGAGCGATCCCCGCGGGTTTCGTCGGTCGACTGGCCCTCGAGCCTCCGCCATCGATCAACCCCGAAATGACTCCAAGGCAGGCCCGTGGACCGAATGACGGAACGGCTTTGCAGGGCGTGGAGCTCTGCAGCACATAGTGGTGGAAATCATCGCGCACGAAATCTTTGTCTTTGGCGGCATGGAAGGCAACCTGCAAGTGCTGTTTGAGGACGTATTAAGCGAAACGACCACTCTCAAGCGGCATGAACATCGATCTGAAACTTGTTGTGAGGAAGTCCTCGGCGAAATCGCCACTTTCTGACGGCATGGGAGAATTTCAGATCGCCCTGGAAGGCGATCTGAAAATTTGTTTGAAAAAGTCCTAGGCGGAATGCCATTTTCAGACGGCGGCCCCACTTGGCGTGTATAATATTAAAGGGGATGAGGTATGCGTCTGAAACTCCCAATTCGGCATCAAGTCCAACATTGTCCTGGGCCCCATGGCCTAACGGGTGGCCAACAGCGTCTCTCTCTCTCTCTCTCTCGAACCCCGCCGCCCCAACTTTTTAATCCAGCGGTTTGACCGCCGCCAGCGCACGTCGCGTCACTGTCACGTGTTTCCCATACTCCACATCGGCGCGCGCAACATTCCTCTAATACTGCGACGCACATTTACCACTTCGTGCGAGATCCGGGCGGGTTCGACCGCAGGCAGTCCTCTGCCCTCTCTTTCTGGTTGGTGGACAAGTACCACAACTGATCTGACCTGTGCGTATTGGCCCACCGCACTGCCGCTCGCAGTCGCTTCACGAACGCTGGGGACTGCCCAAACCAAGCGTTTTTTTTTTTTGTTTGCAAAAGTTGTGACCGGCACTATGCGAGAGAGCGATCCCCGCGGGTTTCGTCGGTCGACTAGCCCTCGAGCCTCCACCATCGATCAACCCCGAGATGACTCCAAGGCAGGCCCGTGAACCGAATGACGGAACGGCTCTGCAGGGCGTGGAGCTCTGCAGCACATAGTGGTGGAAATCATCGCACACGAAATCTTTGTCTTTGGCGGCACGGAAGGCAACCTGCAAGTGCTGTTTGAGGACGTATTAAGCGAAACGACCACTCTCAGGCGGCATGAACATCGATCTGAAACTTGTTGTGAGGAAGTCCTCGGCGAAATCGCCACTTTCAGACGGCATGGGGGAATTTCAGATCGCCCTGGAAGGCGATCTGAAAATTTGTTTGAAGAAGTCCTAGGCGGAATGCCACTTTCAGACGGCGGCCCCACTTGGCGTGTATAATATTAAAGGGGATGAGGCATGCGTCTGAAACTCCCAATTCGGCATCAAATCCAACATTGTCCTGGGCCCCATGGCCTAACGGGTGGCCAACAGCGTCTCTCTCTCTCTCTCTCTCTCTCTCTCTCTCTGTCTGTCTGTCTCTCTCTCTCTCTCTCTCGAACCCCGCCGTCCCAACTTTTTAATCCAGCGGTTTGACCGCCGCCAGCGCACGTCGCGTCACTGTCGCGTGTTTTCCATGCTCCACATCGGCACGCGCAACATTCCTCTAATACTGCGACGCACATTTACCACTTCGTGCGAGATCCGGGCGGGTTCGACCGCAGGCAGTCCTCTGCCCTCTCTTTCTGGTTGGTGGACAAGTACCACAACTGATCTGACCTGTGCGTATTGGCCCACCGCACTGCCGCTCGCAGTCGTTTCACGAACGCTGGGGATTGCCCAGGCCAAGCGTTTTTTTGCAACCGCCGCCAGCGCACGTCGCGTCACTGTCACGTGTTTTCCATGCTCCACATCGGCACGCACAACATTCCTCTAATACTGCGACGCACATTTACCACTTCGTGCGTGATCCGGGCGGGTTCGACCGCAGGCAGTCCTCTGCCCTCTCTTTCTGGTTGGTGGACAAGTACCACAACTGATCTGACCTGTGCGTATTGGCCCACCGCACTGCCGCTCGCAGTCGCTTCACGAACGCTGGGGATTGCCCAAACCAAGCGTTTTTTGCAACCGCCGCCAGCGCACGTCGCGTCACTGTCACGTGTTTTCCATGCTCCACATCGGCACGCACAACATTCCTCTAATACTGCGACGCACATTTACCACTTCGTGCGAGATCCGGGCGGGTTCGACCGCAGGCAGTCCTCTGCCCTCTCTTTCTGGTTGGTGGACAAGTACCACAACTGATCTGACCTGTGCGTATTGGCTCACCGCGCTGCCGCTCGCAGTCGCTTCACGAACGCTGGGGATTGCCCAAACCAAGCGTTTTTTGCAATGACCGCCGCCAGCGCACGTCGCGTCACTGTCACGTGTTTTCCATGCTCCACACCGGCGCGCACAACATTCCTCTAATACTGCGACGCACATTTACCACTTCGTGCGAGATCCGGGCGGGTTCGACCGCAGGCAGTCCTCTGCCCTCTCTTTCTGGTTGGTGGACAAGTACCACAACTGATCTGACCTGTGCGTATTGGCCCACCGCACTGCCGCTCGCAGTCGCTTCACGAACGCTGGGGATTGCCCAAACCAAGCATTTGTTGCAATGACCGCCGCCAGCGCACGTCGCGTCACTGTCACGTGTTTTCCATGCTCCACATCGGCACGCACAACATTCCACTTATACTGCGACGCACATTTACCACTTCGTGCGAGATCCGGGCGGGTTCGACCGCAGGCAGTCCTGTGCCCTCTCTTTCTGGTTGGTGGACAAGTACCACAACTGATCTGACCTGTGCGTATTGGCCCACCGCGCTGCCGCTCGCAGTCGCTTCACGAACGCTGGGAATGCACGAACCAAGCGTTTTTTGCAGCCGCCGCCAGCGCACGTCGCGTCACGGTCACGTGTTTTCCATGCCCCACATCGGCACGCACAACATTCCTTTAATACTGCGACGCACATTTGCCACTTCGTGCGAGATCCGGGCGGGTTCGACCGCAG